CCCAAAAGGAAAAATATCATATGATCTCTCTGATATGAGATAATCTTCATGCAAAATACAACATCAATAGCCCTTGCAATATTATTTGTGCTACATCTCTGTGGCTTTGGTATTTTTGTTTTTATTCTCATTCAAAAAGGTTTTTTCTTATTAATTTCTTCACTGACTCATAGATTTCACAATGGCATCATTTGCTTCAAGAAGGTTTTTTTATTTTCTTTTTTCCTTTCTTCAGCAACACATCAGTCATTCAGTAGCATGTTATTTAACTTTATGTTGGTGTTCATTCTTTATGGTTTTCTTCCTGTTGTTGATTTTGTTTTGTGGCTTTTCAGTTAATGGGATGCATAATAAATATATGATAGGGAATATCATATCCAGGGGTGAAGGTATAATGTAGTATGCATCTCTACTTTCAAATAAAAAATGGACTTCCAATGATCTGTTAAATATATCTTGACAATAAGATGCTGGACTCTCTGCCATTGTCCATGTCTGCAATGACAGGATACGCTTAAATGGTAGAATAATGAACCTATGACTGCTTATGAAAGACTGTACTATTGTAATAATATAGGGGAACTCAACAAAGGGAGGAGTGAGTTTGGGAAGGGGGAAAGGAAATCCCAGAGCCTATGGAACTGTATCATAAAATATTAAATAAATAAATATTATTCTAAAAATGACAAAAAATTAAAAAATGTTGTTGAGGATGTGGAGGAAAAGGAACCATTCTCATTGATGAGGAGAATAAAAATTACTACAACCAGTATGGAAAATGGTGAGGAGATTCTTCAGGAAACTGACAACACATCTACCATCTGATCCTGCTAAGCCATACCAGGTTACATATTCTGGAAACATGGCATTAGTGTGTTGTAGATACATTTTATAGCCATGTTTATTTGAGAACCATTCATAACAGCAAAGAAGTGGAGACATCCTGTGTGTCCATCTCCTGATGAATATACAAAGAAAATGTGGTATATTCATCACCTGTAATGCTACTCAGCTATGAAAGCATGAAATGCTGTCATTCACATAACCTTGATGAAACTAAAATAAGTCAAAGAAATTTTATGATCTCTGTCATACAAAGAGTTTTCTTTAGTAGTTTTTAAAAAATGGTTTCACAGAACATTTAAAAAAAATATTTAGTTAGTTGAAAGCTAGAGACAGAGGGGGTGAGGTGGAGCGAGAGATTTTACAACTGCAACTGCTGGTTCACTCCACAAATGAGCTGGAACACTCTAAGACTAGAATCCAGCGGCCTCTTCCTAGGTCCCTTATGTGTATAGGGGTTCAAGCACCTCTGCCATCCTCTCCTGCTTTCCATACTACTTTAGCAGAGAGCTGAATTGGAAGTGGAACAGCCAAAATGGAACTGACCTGCATGTGAGGGCTGAGTGTGTGCTGGGCAGGGCTGGGCTGGCCCACCGAACCCATTGGCTTGCCTAAGAGATGGGGATGCAGATAGATCTGATCTAGCAATATTAGTACTACCAGCTTGTATATAGGCTGATGTGGATGACAAAATGAGCTGGACCCAATATGGTGAGCACATATGAAGGGCAGGTCTGGGAATGACCTCAGATAAGATTCCTTTGAGGGTCTCCCCAATTAAGCCGCCGCCGGACTCAGAACTCCAACCATGTGGAGAGAGGTAGGACCTGTGGTCTGACAAACGAATGTGTATGTCAGAATTGGGCCTCCTCGATGGAAAACATGGAGCAGCGTGTGGCATACCCAGATGCACATTGAGGATATGGGTCCAATGGAGCTTGCAGGGGATTCTGATACCATATCAGGGGAATGAGGGCAGAACAAATTAGTCAACTATTCCAGAAAAGCTTGACAGCAAATGTCTGGGTGAACGGAGACTCTAAGCTGGATTATTTCAGCCAGTGGACCTTGGAAGGGTTTCCTCATCTTTGGATCAGCGGGATCAACAGCATCTCAGAACTACTGAAAACACCTGAGCACAACCCTCAGAACATGCTCCACATCGGGGACCTGGGATAACATCGCGTGCGTGGCCTTTCCCCATCCCTGGGTACTAAGGAGGTTGGGAGGCTGGGTGTGGCTTCTCCCTTTCTCTACTCCCTTCCCCCAGATACAGGAAGAAGATGAAGGAAATTTTAAAACAATGGTCTCAGCCACTTTCTCTCAATCTTGAACCATTCCCACCCTAATCAACTATGAAAAACATCATGAAAAATAAAAGTTAAAAGAAGACAACAATTATTCACAGGAACAAAGAAGCTCATTATGTATTTATTAAGGGATTAATTCAACAAGATGTGTATATCATAAATGTGCATCGATCTTTATTAAACAAATGTTACTAGATCTAAAGTGAAGCTTATGTTCTGATATAGCAATAGTGGTAGAACTAATTTAAGCTCAACACCTGCTCTGAGCAATCAACAGAGCAATGTGACAAAAAATCAACAACAAAACAACTTAGTTCATCTACACTATATACCAATTGGATCTGATAGGTAGTTACAGAACATTTCAACCCTTAGCTGCGAAATACACATTCTTTCCATTAGTGCCCCAGAATAGATCATATTATAAGCCTTAAAATAAGTCTCAAATAATTTCTAAAATTTTTAAATCATATCACATATATTTTCATACCACAAAAGAATAAAGCTGATAATTAAAATCAAGAGAAACTCTGAAAAATACACAAACACACAGATGCTAAAAAAAATACATATGCTTCCCTACTCTTGGAGATATGGTGCTGCTAATTCTTATTATTTGATGTTACCTTGCTGTCTGTTCTGCAAACGGGTGTGTTTTAGCTGGCATTATCAAAGGATTAAACACTAATGGCCAACACACAAATGAAAAAATACTCAGAATCACTATCATTCAGAGACATAAAAATGAAAACCACAATAACATATCACTTTGCCCTGGTACAATAACAACTGGCTTGAAATACTGTACCCAGAGTACTTTGAAATCTACAAATAAACCTACTGTGTGACAGGGTAATCTCACTCCTGAGAATATAACTGAATAAAATAACATAAGCATGGAAGAGTCACATGTACTCCCATAATCATAGCCAACTTAGATAGCTACGGTACAAAACCAAACTAGATGTTCGACAACTGATGGCTGCATCAAGTAAATGTGCGGGCCAGCAGTGTGAAACAATAGGTAAAGCTGCAGCCTGTGTTTGCAGCATCCTATATGGGTGTTGGCTGATCTCCTGGCTTCCTGCAGATGGCCTGGGAAAGCAGAAAAATGACCCAAGTGCTCATGCCCCTGCTATCCCCATGGATGACCAAAATGAAGCTTCAGGCTCTTGGCTTCAGACGGACCCAGTACTGATCTTTGCGGCCATCTGAGGAGTGACCCAGTGTGTCTCCTTATTCTCCCTCTCGCCTCTTCCTGTGCAGAGCTACAGGAATGAAATCCTGACATCTGCAACAACATGGATGCAAATGGAGATCACTATGCCAAGTGAAAGAAATCAAACCCAAAAGCACAAACACCACATGTTTTCTCGTTGCTACTATAAAAATTGTGTGGGTGTCATATCATTTGGTATACAGTTATGATGAATATTGCTTAACTGAATCATAATGTATAAATGACAATATATCTGTCTTTATTACATTAAAAGAAGAAATAGAGAGGAGGAACACTGAAGAATCTTGGGGTGCTAGCAAGCCGTTCTACCTAATTTGGGGGTTGATTGTGAGTGTGAGCAGAAAACAAAGCCACACTCATCTCTAAAATGGTTGCGTACACAGTATTTCAATAAAATGTCCTACAAAAAGCAGCTCTGGCTAAGGAGGAACAGGAGGGAAGCAACTGGGACAGAGCTCCTGGGGTCCACAGGCACCATCTGCTCTTCTGGTAGAAGACGCCGGGTTCAACCTGTGAAGTAGAGCAGTGTCAGGTCAAAGCCATGCTCGAGCCACTACGTCCACACATCCCTCCTAAACAACCTGACTGCAACAAGGGTGTGAAATGTGCAATACTCACATCATACATTCCGGAACTGTTTACATTTGTACTGGATCACTACTGAAATAGAGACACAAGAAAGAACTTCAGCCATAGACCTCAGGAATCCTGGACCTGTGCTCCAGGGAGGAGCAGAGGTATCACCTAGTCCTGCCACCTGCCAACTCTAAACCCCTATTCAAACAGCCCTGGGACAGACCCAACCACCCATCACCTGAACTACATGTGGGAAGATAGTCTAAAAAGGAGCAAAATGTGGAAGCTGTCTCAAACACTGAGTCATCAGAACCATCCAGAACATGTTCAAAAAAAATAATTACAGAAGGAGGTTCACAAGCCACAGCAAGTACACCCTCGGGAAAAACATCCTCAGGAGCTCTGAATGTCCTAGAGAAGATCTCTGGGACTTTGGTGAAGTGCACGTGTGGCTCAGACATTGCATCTCTCCTCGCACACACACTTAACTGTAAATGCACACAAGCTTCCAGGGCAGACATGCCTAGTTCTCTTCCCCACAGGAACAAAGACCTTGTGACTCTGCACACACTTACAATCCACCTCCTCTCCTAGCTCTGGCACCTGCAAAGTGACGGCTTGGCCTGTCCCAGTCCCACCCCCAGCACGGGTTTGTCATACCTAGTTCATCTCTAAGATCTTCCACCTCGTCTCACAGCACGACACACTGCAGCAATGAACAACACAGAGAGAAAGAGAGACACACAGAGAGAGAGAGAGGGAGGGAGAATATGAATTGATTTTAGCTTCCTCTGACCCCATCTAGGACCCCCACCCCTCACCAGCCCTTCTATTTAGCACCTCCCACAGGTAAGTGGACATGTTGTATTGGAATTTCAATAAGTGGGAATCCTCGCCCTCCATGGAGTTGGGGTCAGGCATACAGGATGGGGTAAAGCTTGACCCAGACATGGGTCCCAACATCCATTTGGGGCCTGCATTTTTAGGAACAAGAGACAGCATTACCCGAAGACAGCCCTCTGATTCAGGTGTCAATTCTGGCGTTTCTGGATTCTGTCGATGAACACATGGTTCCTGGTCACCTGAAACAGAACACAAAATCCAACATCCGCACCTGAGATGAGATGGAAAGGACTATGTGGATTCTAATGTGAGCTGCTTCACCCTCTCCTCATAAGCTGTCTTGGCTCTGCCCAGAGATTGCAAGCCTCTCCCTGGGCGTGCCTCCCTGTCCCACAGAGACACACGTGCTGTGAGTCCTGACTCCTAGGACTGTGAATAGGGGTTGGATGCTAGCTGAGTCACAGTTACAGCAAGCTACACCAAGGAGTCATACCCATGTTCAAGAAACAACAGGAAAGGCTCTGCTCCACTGCTGCTGATGGAACCTGGGGCACTGCCAGAATTCCCCCCAGTCTCATCAACTGTACTGTTAGAATGATTTGACCTAAGGCAGTGCTGATAACATCTGTTTCCTCTGAGTGAGCTGCCTGGGTAGGCAGGGAATGCTGGGAGCAAGACTAAGCCCCCCAAAGTGACAGAGCCACAAATTTCCCTCCTTCACTCCTCCCTTCCACTCAAACCAAACTCTTGGACTTACCAGACATCACAGGGCCTCTGGCTCGGACACTTCCCTGGCTTGAGGGCAAAGGCTGGAAGCTTGCTGCAACTTGTGGGTCTTGGATGTCAGAGTCCCCACTGCTGAATCCTCCATGAAGAACGTGCTTGGGAGCTGGAAGCTAAAAAAAAAAAAATTTTTTTTTAATTCTTGTATGTAACTGTCAATGAAGTGTGTGAGTGTCACTCTATTTTGGTGGCTGAGGGTTTGTAATAAGGAGGGCAATTGGAGGCCCAAGTCAGCAGCACCTTCTCCCTCACTCTTCCCTCAGTCAGGCTTCCAGGAGGCCAAGAAAACCAGATATTGACGTCCTCCAGCTGAATCCATAAGCGGTCACTTACTCCATGCTGGAAAGGGTCAGCTGGAACCCTGCCTTCCATCCCATCTACCACCTAGAGTCGAGGCAGGAACTGTGCAAGTGCCAAGGAGAGTGCTTATCAAACCCCAAGTGACCTCTAAACTTTGTTCCAATCAAGTACCCCACCTTGACACCCTAATGACTGAGGGCTCCAAAATTATACCTAAGTGCTAGATGTAGCAGGGGTGGTGTGGCATGTGCTAGGGGAGGGAAGAAATCTGGAAAGGAGGACAGGGACAAAGCTGGGGTGAAAGAGGAAGGCATACTTACGTCGGTGCTTGTGTCTGCATCTCTATCTGAGTCCAAGGCTCCTTTAGTCACAGGCTGGGTCTGCCTCTTGGCCCCAGGTTTCTCCTGAGGGGAGCCCTGCTTGGACTGTCTGGGTTCCCGAGGAAGCGAGGACGAGGGGCCAGGCTTCCCAAGCAGTGAAATCCCAGTGGTAGCAGGGGTGGTGGCTGGATCCATGAGAGCTTGTCTCTGCTTCTGAGGTGCAAGGGCTGTCCCCAAGACAGCTTCAGGGGCATTCCCTAGACATTTCTTCCCTAGGGATAACTGTCTCCTAGGAACCGCCTGAGGAAGGACTTCTGTACCACCTGCACCATCAGCACCCCCGGGGGGACTAGGCTTGCCCCTAACCTTCCCAGAGAGCCAACCCTTCAGTTTCTTCAGGGAAGAGGGCCCTGACTCTCCCAGGACCTGCCCCTCAATGGCACTGTCGCGACCCCAAAGGGCAGAGGTCGAGAGAGCGCTTGAAACATGAGGCCAATCCTCACTGCCCGGGGAAATAGAGTAAGTAGGGCTTCCTGTGGGCTGGGCAAGGTCGCTGCCCTTGGCCTGCCTACCTCGTTGCAGATTGGTGCTTGCCCTCCCTGTGTGCGAGCCCCTGAGCTCATCATAGGACTCGGGCTCAGAAGGCAGCCCCAGGAGGCCTCCCCCACAGGCTCGCAGGACATGGCTTCTGCTGCTCGCCTGAGGCCTAGCACTGCTGTAGCTGAGGCCTCCTTCCCTGGGGAGACTCTCGAGCCACGGGACCGCAGAAGCCTCCAGCAACCTCTCATAACCCCAGCCCATGGCGCCTCTGCAGCTGGGGCCAGACTCTTCAGGCAGCCAAATGGCGGCCTCTGCCGCAGCAGCACGGCGTCTCGGGCTCGGGGACCTGCGTATAGCTTTGTAACCCCGGCGGCTCCGTGGCTGCACGAGGGCCGCGTGTGCCTCAAGAAAAACCGACAGGGACCCCAAAGGGCCCTCCCTCTCAGGGACGGCAGTGTCAGGCCGACCCTCACAGGCGTTGAAGCCCGTCGCCCCTGCCTGCATCATGGCCGGCTCTGGCTCTGGCCCCAATTCCGACTTCAGTGGCCACTGGGGGGCCTGCGGGGTCGAGAGCCTCGCCTCCCTGCCGCTCTTGGCCTGCTCTTGGCCCCGGCCTTCACCGAATCCTAACAGCCCTGAATCCACCGCTAGCTCCCGCTCCCAGCGGCCTCCAGGGCCGTCAGAGCCGGCCTGGCCCTTCCTCTTGGAAACCGCGCCAGTGCGGTGACCAACACTCGATGTTTTCCTGGTGGAGCTCATGCCGCACGTCTGGGCAGACCGCGCTGAGGGGAAATGTCGACCTGGTCACGATCTTCCCTCAGGCAGAGCTGGGAGGCGCGAGTCAGGAACAGAGAGGAAAAACCGTTATCCCAGGCGTTGCTAGGAATCTTCTGGAAGGACGCGGGGTTGCCCTTCAAATCCCCTGCAGGGCGCCGTCGCATTCCCATTGGTCAATTCCCAGCCAATCTGCGTGCCCGCTCTTGGGCCGCCCCTCCAGGCCCCAGCCAATAGGAACAAGGGTGCTCCTGTTTCTAGGGAACAGGCAGTCTGACATGGTGGTTGGTGTACAGTTCCGTAGTGAAGACCGAGTAGGCACAGGTTATCCCAGCCCCCTACTCGTCTAACCAATCTGACTCGCTGTATATCTATTTATCCGTTATTTGGTATGAAGCTTGCCTTTTCTCAGAAAGAGACTATGCTGTTTGTCCTTTTGCCATTGGCTGAATTGGGACAACGTTGTTGCAAATGGTAGAATTCATTTGTAGTGGCTGAATGATATTCCGTGGAGTAGATTTACCATAATTTCTGCAAACATTCCCGTTTTGACAAACTTCCTGGCTGTTTCCGAGTCTTTGTTATTGTAGTTTGTGCTGCTATAAATTTAGGATTTCAGGGCACTTTCTTACATGTCGATTTCACATCCTTTGGATATATTCCCAGGATTGGAACAGCCGTAGCATACAGTGCACCAATTTTCCCTTAGAATACCGGGAAGACACACTGCACTATGTGCTTCTACTCCCAAACTAAAGGAGCACTCCCAATTAAAATGTTAAATAAATCGTAACAATCGAGTACTGGCCTTTCCACTGTTGTCCATACTTACAATGTCATGATACACTTAAATAGCACAAGGATTCCTGAAAGGCTTTACTATTGCGATCATATGGGTGGAATCAGTGTGTATTGGGGGCAGGGAGATGGGGGTGGAAAGGGAAATCTCTGTGCTTATGGAACCATATAGCATGAAAGATTAAAAGAAAACACTAAAATGAAAATAATCTTGATTTTGGTAAAAAAAAATATATATATATATATAATTTTTGCAAAAAAGCATTGACTCAGTAGAATGCATTTGGTTACTGGTCAGCACATCGGCTTAATGCTAAACTATGCTAGTAGTAATCATCCTGAAAATCAGTACCTGGGGAAATACTCAAAATCTGAATGTAGGCTTTGTACTATGTTGGTATTGCTTTTGCAACGTGGTAAAATCGAGCTTCTATAGTGTAACCATTGGAAATCTGGTAATGTGGGGGAAACTTTTAAAACGTGGATTTGGTTTTATTTTATGAGAATAGGAAGGTGACATGCATGTTGAGAAATTCAACTTTCATCAGCTGGTTCAATTCTCAAATGTCTGCAATAGGCAGGGCTGTTCAAGACCAAACCCAGGAGCGGAGAAATCAAGCAATTCTCCCTTGTGACAAGTAGGAACCCAAGTACTTGTGCCATCATCCACTGCCTCCCAAGGAACACACAAGCAAGAACATAGATCAGAAACAGAAGAACTGGGACTAAGACCGGGCTTTTCTACATGGGATATTGGTGTGTATATGCTGGCTTTACAACTGTACCAGATGTCAGTACCTGGAGTGTTTTCTCAGATAAAGCACTGTTGGTGTATTACAGTGTTATTGACTTTTGCATGTTGACTTTGTACCTTGGAATCCTGCCTCTGGGATGAACTCACTTGATCATGGTAAATAGCCATAGTAATACGCTGATGAGTTTGATTTGCTAGTATTTGGTCTAGGAATTTATATCCATGTTCAATAAGTACAGTTTCCAGAAGCTCTTCCTTTTTTGCCATGTCCTTGTCTACTTTTGGTATCAAGGCAAGGTGGCCTCATAAAATGAGCTTGGAAGGATGCTTTCTTATATATTTGAATCCTCTTTGAATGTTTTGTTGGATTGGACAGTACAATTGTCTGGACTTTCTTTGACTGGAGACATTATTACCAATTACAACTTGATACTTGTTATTTGTCTGTTGGGGCAGTTTTTCCTTCATGGCTCAATCCTGATAAGGTGCACATGCCGTGATTTGTCTGTTTCTTCTGGGTTATGGAGCTGTTGCTTTATTATTGTTCTTAGAATACTCTCTAACAATTCTTTTTAAGTTCTGTGTTGGCAGCTGCGCTGTCTCTGTTTTCATCCCTGACTTCATACATTTGAAACTCTGTTTTTCTTAGGTAATCTAGCTAAGTGTTTTTAAATTTTGTTTATCATTTCCTCATTTCATTTGTTTTTCAGTTGGGTTTCTGTGTGACTATCATTTCTGTGTGCACTGAGTTTTGTTGGTCCTATTCTATTAATTTTGAATTTGATCTGTGCTTGTTTCTCTGATTGCTTCAGGTGCAGAATTACATCATTCATTAGGGATCTTTCTGCTCGATAGATGTAGGCATAGCTGCTTTAAATTTCTCTCTGTGCACCGTTTCTGCGATACCCACAGCTTTTACTGTTCTGTGCTTCCATTTTCATACATTTCAGGATACTTCTAGAAACCCTGCTTAATTTCTTCCATTGGTTACTTAGAAGCAGGTTGCTTAATTTGTATTGTTTCCAGAATTCTTGTTTCTGAGTTTTAGTCTTACTGCACTGAGATCAGAAGAGAAATCCAGGCCTGGCACTTTGGCTCAGTGGCTAAATCCTCAACTTGCACACTCCTAACTAAGGTCCAAAATGGGTTCTGGTTCATGTCCTGGCTGATTCCCTTCCTCCCTTCCAGCTTCGTGCTTGTGGTTGGTTAAAGCAGTCAAGCAGGGCCGAAGCTTTGGGACTCTGCACCAGTGTAGGAGACTCAGAAGAAAGTCCTGGCTCCTGGCTTCGGATCGGCTCGGTTCCAGCCATTGAGGCCACTTTGGGAGTGAACCAGCAGATGGGAGATCTTCCATGCCTCCACCTCTCTGTAAAATCTGCCATTCCAATAAAAGTGAGCAAATCTTTTTAAACAATAAAAATCCGGTTCGATTCCTACTTTGTTGAAATTATTGATATTTATTTGATGATCCAGCACTGACTGGTCTCCTGGCAAATGTTTCATGCACTGTGGACAAGGATGTGAACATTCTCGTTGTTGGATGAGGTGCTCTGTGGTGGGTTCTTCAGTCCAATTGATCCACAGCATACCTAATTAAAAGTAGTCTAAGTAAAAACGATGAATCAGATTAGACTGTGAAGGAAATCAAAAGGGATATAGGGCAGTAGAAAGTCATACCCTAATCTGGCTTTGGAAGAATTACTAGTGCTCAGTGCCCACACCTGAAGAGTACTTCTTATACCAAGCTGTTGTGCAGTACTTGTCCACATAAGAATAGAGACATGGCGTGCTTGGGGATATTAGGGCTGGCTATGCCAGTCATGAAGGGCCATTTTCAACACACTGCTCCCCAAGCCAACCAACCCCACCCCACGGAAGAAGGGTAGGTACAATTCTTGCTCCTGCAGGAAAGTAAGGGGATTTGGATGTGGCTTGCATGGGGGATGCCTTTCCTAGGCCACATTTACCAGGTTCTCAGCAGGCCACATTTACCAGGTTTTCAGCTCTGCTGCTGGGTATCTAAAGACCAACAGTATGTTACATGGGAAGCATGTTTATACAGGCTGATGCCCTTACTGCTGTTGTCTGGCTATAGCGATACATGCTTTGCTGCACAGCGACTCCTTGTGGCTCTGAGTAGATTCATATATAGCAGTGAGTAGTGAAACTGCCTTGACAGAATGCATTATTCCAAGTTGAGCTATTCCAAGTAACGCAAGCTGTAGCTGAGCTGTTTCAATGGTTGTGTGCCATTATGCAAACAGAACGCAGGTTCTGGTTCCTTGCTCTGGCCTGGCCCAAACCTGGTCATTTCGGCTGTTTGGGGAGTGAATGAGCAGATGGAAGGTCTCTCTCTCTCTCTCTCTCTCCATGTTTGTGTGTGTGTGTGCCAGTGTCTGTAAATCTCTGCCTTTGAAATAAACAAAACTAAAAATTTCAAGTATACAACAGAAACTAAAGAAACCCAGGGCTGGCCAGCATCTCAACTGCTAGAGCCAATACTTGCTCAGCATCTAACATTCCTCTCTTCTTTCCTTCTAGCCTTGGAGTTCCCCTGAAATAGCAATCTCTGATATTTTTGCTTTATTTTGTCTACTAGTCTTTTAGGGACCTGAAAATCAGCTTATCATATTGTTTCTTGTTGGTAAAACAAAAATAGAGAGTGGAAAAGTGCCACAATGCCTATGTCTACAAGGCCCTGATCCCTGAGTCAAAAGATGGATGATCTCTCTCTCTCTCTCTTTCTCTCTCTCTCTCTCTCTCTTCACTGCCTAACTCTGACTTACAAACAAATAAAATAAATATTTTTTTAATTCGCGTTTTACTTTTGCTTTGAATAAAATGCTCAGACTGGCTCATATTCCTCTGTGGCTCAGTTTTGCTTCCTGTGTCCTTTCCTCTATCTTTGATTGTTTAAGCAACAAGATGTTCATGGCCACCTGCACCTTCAGTTGAGAGCTAGCTCATCTTTGTTGTTCCAGTTTCTCCCTCTGATAACCTCAGGTTGTTTAGGGCTGATGGAGAGTGTCCTGGATCATGTGAGAAGGAGGTTGTATCTGGAAGGGCCATATGCCACCGCCTCCCCTCCCAGGGTGTGCCAATGGACCTGTGTGGGATCAGGGACAGTGCCACTGCATGACCATTTACTATTACTGTTATTTTCAGAGTTGGCTTCTGAGCCCTGGAGGGTAGCGGTAGTGCTGTGCATGTCAGTAAACAGTGGCTTTCAGTACCACCATGCAGCTTCCACAGGCGATTTAGTAAGAGCTGTTTCACATCCTCAATTTGTTGTGGCAGAACAGGATTCAGGTGTCTGAGCACTTCATTTTTTCCATTATAGTGTAAATCACATCACACTGGGACATGAGAGGTGGCCGCAGAAGTGGAAAATGCAGTCATGTGACAGGCACTTTCCCCAGCTTCATTTATACTT